TATCTACGTACAACCCACACAATATACAAACTGAATTTGCTTCAGGTTTTCTATTCTCAACTACTAATAAGTTTCATTAACTCATAGGCAGTATCATAAATAGTATTGGCACTATTTATGGTAATGCAAAATTTTACCAGATGAGTGTAGTAGTCCATGTCATTTTCAGTCAAAACTTTGCTTGAAGGGGTCATTAAGCCTTGATCTTCTAATCATTCTCTTAAGCGTGACAATATTTTTTTTAAGTAAATGGGTTTGCAAACCCTGGCAAAGATAGGGTCTTCTATGGAACGAGCACGCCCCGAAGATGCCTATTCAGTCGCACTTTTAGCTACTCGGGGTGTATGTGCTCGAAAACACAGTCGCAGGCAGGCAACTCCATTCCTGGGCTATACGCATTATAAAAGATGACGAAAAACGCTTAGTAGGTACACCTGAAGGGAATATCGACAAAATAAAGATGATATCCCACCGTATGTCTGGATGTCTAAAGTTTTTTTTTTATATTATCAATTGACGGGACCAACAAGTCGTGCGCCTGGTGGTAAGTTACACGCCTGTCCATAACAGTTGCAGTGCCAATAAAAGCTTTAAATCGCAAAGATCTAAAGGGCACTATTACTGCGCCCGTCACTCTGCGACATAAGTTGACAAGTCCCATGTGCCTGTAATTTAACCAGCACCCTTCAAAACCGGAACACAGTAATGCTGACATTACTGCTTGGGGGCAGAAATAGGTAAGGTGGTAGTACTTCCCTGGATGAACTCTACTGCTACTAAAAATTCTACTATGCCACAGCTGAACAAAAGCTAAAAAATGTTGAATCACCTTAACCGTTTCGATTTATGATAACTAATCGCATTCCTCCACCTTTCCCGGACCACACAAGTTGACGCTCCGACTGAGATCATTACGAGAAACTAATGTCCAATTAAAAAATATTATATCTTAGTAAATAATGTGGAGTGAATTGTAATTAGTTTTTTGTTTGGTGTTTGAAGTACCCGTAATTAGTTATTGTTTGTTATTGCTCAGCTGATAATAAATAAACTTGTTTACAAATTAAACATTTGATTGAATAATAACGATTTAAACTTTGAACGATAATGATCTGTATTGTTTGACTAATATAGAGTGTTAATTTTTAACCGACTTGAAATATGTTTTTTTTATGTATGTTACACGATAATTTGTGAACCGATTTTGATAATTCTTTTTTGTTATAAAGAGGGTACCTCAGCAGCAATCCTGATGAATCTGATTTCGCGCACTTTCCAGGCACCGATTTCAATTAAACTTGGTAAATAAATGTAATTCCACGAACTTTTGAGGTCAGTTTTTTTTTAATACTCTGTACTGATATTATTAAGTTATTAGTATATATTAGTTTACTAGTTATATTACTAATTAGTTGTTAGTATAACAGAAAAAGTTTGCTATAAAATTTTAACGCTCCCTTACACAACATAACAATGTTATACTTGAAATACATAAAATATGCATAAAATAGGTATAAAAATGAAGTAAAGCCGCAAATTCCCAGATGGTGGAACCCTCACTACACTCGCCCTTCTAACGGTAGTGACAAAGCGTTTTAGTTTCTTCCCCTCTGATCTAATGACCTCATCTGATATAATAGCTTATTATGACTATGATCTTAAAAAAACTATTTTTGTTTCAGTTATATGTACTTCGTTCAATAAATTATGAAGAATAACAAATATGATAAAAATAAAAAACAAGCTATTCGAGGTATGGCTTCCACAAAATCTTTCTTATGACTATAGAACATAGGTTCCCAAACTTTTTTGCTCACCGCCTACATAGGCAAGATAAAAAAAATTCAGCGTCCACCAACACAAAAAATAATTGAAAACACGTATTGTTTATATTAACCTAACACAAAAAATCACAAGGAAAAAAATTACATATTGTATTCGTAGTGTAGTTTATATGTATAGATAATTCAGGTTGTTTTTTTTTTTTTTTCAAAGGCGGTAACACCCCTTGTGTAACATCATCCCCTAATTCCTTCCGAGGACTCGAACTCTCGAACTATCGAACTCCCAAGGGCTCTTAAGCGCCGAATTTCCAACTTCTTGTATGCCATATTATTTAAAAAAACGGTCCATTACCCACATTCTATCGTATCGATATGCACACATACATGTCTTCAGTATTGAAAACAGAAAACTCAAACAATCCAATCCCAAAGCAATTCCAAAATGCTTGTAATTCATCAAGCCCATCACTAACGTTTACCTATACGTATCAGAACCCCTTCTGCACCATACATCAACGTCACTAAGGCTTGCGACGCTCCTCCATAGATAAACCAAATGAATGGATTCCTTAACTATGCCTATTTTAAGCTAAATTGACCTCTTAAAAGAACTCTTGCTTATATCAAGATCACGATTTGTCGTTATTAGTAATCTCCGTGAAGATAAAATATTATCGGTTTAGGGTTACGATGTAGGTGTTTGTTGAATATGATTAATGACTGGTTCAATTTTGTATCAAGTTGAATATGTAATAGTTGAGTCAACGCAGTCTTTATGTGTGGATGTCTTTATGCTCTGTTATAAAAATTCAATATAATAGTTTCAGATAATCTCTGTATAGAGTACTAAAAAAACCGACCTCAAAAGTTCGTGGAATTATATTTGTTTCCTAAGTTTTATTGAAATCGGTTACCCGAAAGTGCATGAAAACGGATTCGTCCCCTTGTTTGCCACCCTTAGAGGTGGAATATTGTCTTCAAATTTAAATGGGACCAATACTAAGGTAACCTCTTTTCCACAAAAAAGAATCATCAAAATCGGTACACAAATCACGGTTCTCCCGTAACATACATGCAAAAAAATACTGTCGAATTGAAAACCTCCTCCCTTTTTTAAGGTCGGTTAAGAATAGAAGATCCTATCTAGAATTTAAAATACCGTCAAGAACTTTTTGTCTGTACGATTAGTTCAAGCAAAAAACCTATTAGAGGTATTAATTATACTACTCGCATTGAAGTTTTCCTGATACAAACCATATTTTATGAAAAAGAAAATTCATGAGACATTAAAGTAAGGTTGAAGGAAATCGTAAATAAAATGTGTAATTTTATTTACGGTTCAACATTTATCTCACACTGTTTTCGATTTTCCTTGTTTGTATATATGTATAGACATGATATACGAGATAACTTTCCCAAAGCAAAAGCAATCGAGAACTACTTGATTTATATCGGTTTCCTAAATAAACTTTCTCAACTGCCTTTCTATATGTACTACACGTGCGTATGTAATATGTACTCTATATTGAAACACACCTTTCTCTTGTAAAACTAACAATACGAAATCTCCTGTATGTCTATCAGTAAAATCCCCACAGAACAATAAATACAATAGAAGTGGTTAGTTAGCATCTGACGCGTGCCAACTATAGGTCTCGCAAGACCTATTTGAGCTCAGTCCGCCATTTTCGCTTTGTATGGTATGGTTGTGTCGTTCTTTTGTGCAAATTCTCTAAAATCGTACAAAAATGTCTTATTGTGCTGTTTTGGATATTAATCGAGGCTTAAGGCACTTCCATTGTGTTTTTCTTCCGTGAAAATCCCCAAAAGCAATTAATGCACAATAAAGAATTTATTGTATTGGGTGAATGGAGGCAAGCTAATTTGCGGTGTCGCCAGAGATAAAAACATGTGGCGATACGGCGACCTCCGATAAGTAATATATCTGATGGCTGTGATGCCTGAGCTCGTATGGAGTTTACTATTTTCTTAAGATTAAAAAACTTCAGGAAGACATCAACCTGATCTATCAGTAGGGCAAAAATAACATCTTCTCTTCAATACTTAAAAGAATTCATGACCCATGTCGAGCCTATTGAAGACTTAGGCATCTCTCAGACTCAGATTCATCTCAATTTTCACTAGCATATGAAAGTCCTAACTACCAATTGCTGTCGAAGGATAGGACTCTGGTTAAGGGCAAACTTGAAGCAGCTTCAGTTGTTTGGAACCCACTCGAGGCTAGTTATGCCATGCTTCAGAAGAAAATCCAAAAACGTTCTTGTGATTCTTAAACGAAAAAGTTTATATGTACTATGTACCCGTTTTATACATCCGTAAATTCTTTCTTGGCGTCTTGAGATTTAATTCTCTAGAAGAAAAATGTAATTATATACAACTGACTATGGCTAGTAGGATCTTATAAGAAGACTCGGACTATCTGGAATAGGTTGTACGGCCACGTAATCACAAATTGCTGGCAATGCGGTAGCATGCACTGTGTCACATAGTAAATACCTGCTTGTTCGCGCTCTGCGGTGTCTTCATGCGTTTCTTGGACGTACCTGCACCAGACTGCGATATTTTTGGAAGTAGATGGGTGTATGATGAAACAGGAGAATTTAGTGAAACTATTGTCTTAAGGTGCAATACTCATATTCTGTGATTAAGCTCATCCAGATGGCCTATAATTAAAAAATATTTTGTTTGGTTCTAAAACCTCAAAATTAAATAAAAACTTGGCACTTCAACATAAATTTGGCATAGCTCTTCAAAAACATTATTCATATGACGCTGATACATACATCATATTCAGAAACTGGCAACACCACTTATAAAATAAACGGCTCCCCGACCGACCTTGCACGAAATTACAGAAATTCTTTTAGACTCTATTCATGACAATAACCAACCTTTATATGTAAATTACGAGTCATCACACTTTGGCCCATTTCTGGCAGTTGCACAATCTTTAAATAAATTCTTGCTGTAAATACTGTCATTTGTTTTCAAAGCCGGGCGCTATGCATAGCGAAAGTGGAGCAAGGCAGAGGATGCAAAACAGAATGGCGAGTGATGTGCAGCGGTTCCAAAACAAACATCCATCCCGTTACCTTGGTCCGGTGCTCAAACAAGCGAGCACTGCGAACATCGCGCGGATGCAAACGAAGTTCGATCTTTATTCAACCAACCGACTCGGTTGGCGGCTCACTGCCTCGCTCTCTTCAGTCCGTAGGTGACCGCGGGCGGGGCGGCACGTCCGGTGCGCGCCTCGCGTTGCATTGTTTTTCCTGTGAGCATTGTTTTAATTCAGCCGACCATAATCGATACGATATTCCAGTGACATTTGATGGCCTATATGCTTTTCAATTTTAACGCTAAATCAAATCAAGTGACAATAAGGTGTCTTATTCTAGCTAGGTAATAGATACTTGCTAGAAGGAGGCTTATTGACAAGTGAAACTCTTTATTGCCCCATTCGTCCACCTGTGATTCTGGATTGGTTATTGAACAGTGAATAAGTGATCTTTGTTGTAAGGGAAAGCATGCAAATCGATAATCAAGTGGATACCCAGCTGCGAGCAGGAGAGAGCTCTTACTGTGCGGTTTATTACTCGGTTGCATATTGATTACTCTGCCACTAGGATCACTGGATACTGGATACATAATTGAGGTAAGTTACATTAATTCAAGCTGCACCATGAAATCTTTACATATTCCTCAATTTTATTACAGATACTTTAATCCAGGAGCTTATGCTGCAGCATACTTCATGTTTAAAAGAGAATTGCGTTCCAGTGCAATGCCAAAATTTTATATAATAAAGGTATTGGAAACCGGGGGAAGTTTATGTTTGTCTATTGTAGTATGTTTATTCCCTACGTTATATTTACGTAGGTGGAATAGGTCCCACCACAGTACAGGAAACAGAAGAACTATTAATTTATTGTAATTTGCTATTTACACCTGCATATCAACACACCCACACTCGATATGTTTCCAATATTTATTCTGTCTTATCTCCTGCGACCCTCTGACCTAGATCCTGCGACCTATATCCTGTGACTACCGACGTCCAATATTGTACCTAAAATGACAAACAAAACCTTCGTGTGACAACTTAACACAGATTCATGACAATTTTTACAACATCGTTAATATCCACTGTCACTGACGGCAAAACATAAAGACCTGCTCTGATTCAGATCACAAATAACCTCAAAGTGAAATTATCCAAAGTAGAAATATTTTAACTAGACTTATAACAATTTAATGTCAATGGCAACACTCGAGTAAATCGAAGTCGCATTTCATTTCTTTTTTGTTAACAACACCCGCCAGCGACTCTGGTTAATGTTCAGAATAAAAACAAGCTAACCGAACCAAATCCGATTCTGCTATACGTACTTTTTATGAAACTTTACTTTATAGAGCGGTAAGGCTAGCTGCCAAAACTGCTGCAAAATATTATTTAGACAAGATCATAAATAAAGATCGACACGTTTTATTGGCGCTGACACACAGCATATATACGAGTATATATCATGATGTTTTGAAAATATATTAAACTGTTTGGGCTACAGTTCTACGAATGGATGGCAAAAACTGTCCTAAAAATGTCAACAAGATACTTGAGTTAGAAACCTCTTGAGCCGACGCTATAAGTCAAAGTTAGAATTTCATAACAGTTTGACTGAACAATAATGACTATTGTCGTTGTAATGAAAACAATTCAGCAATAAATTCACGCTACTCTTTCATACCGCCATAGTCGCACTCATCTAACAAGGATTAACTTTGTAGAACGCCGCGCACTATTACTAACAAACAGTCGTTTTTACTACAAGAATCCAAAGTACAAGATACCAATTATTTAAGCATTATATACGTAATAAGAAAACATTTGTGTCCAAATTATGACATGTGTCCTTAATATCATCAACATAATTTGTCCACTCCATCAAACCTTCATAAACAGATTTTGTTATCAACCAAATGCGTGAGTAAGCGTATTGATTGGTTTCTTTTTCAAGCTCTGCATTGTCCTAGAATCCCAGACAAAATATTGACATCTATTGTGTGTTGTTTGCAGTGTGTGTTGTGTAGAAGGTAGTATGGCTGGTTATCTCAATCTATACAGCAAGTAGCACCTACCTGCGCGCAAAGCCTCGTCCGGGCTCCGGTTACCGACAACAATAAAACTGCAGTGGTTAACGCAGCAGGTAGAGTAAAATTGCATGGTTAAGGTCTTCTGTTCGTTGTACCGCATACATGAATTCAAAAATATGGTGTATTAGGAATGAAAACTTTCGTGTATACATAGAGACAAACATATGTATATGCTTCTATTGCAAGCATTTTAAACAAACTTTTTCGTCTGAAAGTTCTGAACTATATTTTATTAGTGGCCGCTTCGAACAAAGCGTAACGAAAATAACTTCTAGGAAGGGTTTCGCAAATAATAGGTAGGTATTTTTATCATTTATGCTGATTGCCTTTTAAGATTTAGTTTCGAACTTAAGTGAGAAATACAACAAGACTTGAATCGTAAACAGATCTAAATTTGGTAATTCGTTTGGTATTATACTCAATGTAAATAATAACAACACTTTGTTTGCACGCCTTTATGCAAAATCGAGCTTCGTTTATTTATAAGCCTGCTGCAAGGGATGCAGCTGTTAATCATTGTGCAAATTACTAGATTGAGTGACAGAGAGCAGCTGCAGGGAACAGGGTTCTATTCAAATTTCCTTATAGACGAGAGAAATCTGGACACACAGTTGGTTGCACACCTGATCGCTGGCCATAACCAGTTTCGCCACCTGGTTCGCATTGTGTACATGATCAAATTGCACCTTGTCGTCGTCTATACTTATTCACATTGAGTGTAATATCTCGTTTGTAACAATACTGAACGCTAGAAGGTCACGAAGAGGTTTGTTATTTATCCAAGTACACTTCTGGGAGTAGTCTCGTCGCAATGTATATATATATGTTGTATACATATACTCTTTGTTATCGTCTTGAGTCCAATTTTTCCTTTAGGTATCTCAATCATCTCATTTTATCTTTTTGAAACAATATTGAATTACCTAATTGTTTTCTATATTACTTACTATGTCTTTAAGTGTTCAGATTTTTTATTGAAAATGTTCAAATTAAACTTTCCATCATTAAAAACAGGTATTTCGACAACTAGTTGCCATGTCAGAATAAAAGCGACAAATTTTAAACAGAATTAATACAAATACAAATGAGTGATTAAAGCGAAAAGAAAGTGCGCTGCAATCGATCAGTGGAGCAATTATCGCTCTTACTTGACAGCCGCCATCGATGCACCATTGTACTTATTGCCACTACTTACATGCACTTTCTTCGTAGACACGTGAGTTTAGACGTGCTACTAATTGGAGTTAGCCGTTACATTTTTATGACCGAGTAGTTATAATATGACTATTGTCAAGTGTATATTACTTGTATTTTACACACCTTAGTGTATTAAAACTAAGGAGATAATTAGGCATTACTGGATGAATACAACTTCAACGAGAAATGGCTTACGTAATTATACGAACCTGTTACAGTTACTGTGGCAGCACTGTCAATTTTGCTACTAATCAGTCATAATCACAAACTCGATCAACTGAACATTTTCCACATTCAGTAACTAAGTACTTATACGAACGAATTATCACATAACAAAGACGTGTCATTAGATAAGAAGCATATAAAAGTGGAGCAAGGCTTATTTAATCCGACTAAGTTAAAGTGAATCAATATCCTATTCTTACAAAAGTAAAAGCTGAGAGATAAGAAATAATTTCCAGGTACCAATCTGGATTAACCATAGAAAAGATTCCTGCATAAGCGGCGAAAATTTATGCTGGTTTTCAATGATTCTGATTAACCTCGACGTAACTTGAGAAATTAGAATTACAAACCGTCACATTATTTCGAACATAAGTACATGGTCATGACAATTACAATGTCATTTTGTAAGTAACTATGTCAACAGCGTTCACTTTCGCATGACTCTCTGGGAGTTTTTAACGTCGTCGGTCGGCGCGTTTTCAATTTATGCCTATTGTTGCCCAATAAAAGACTATTTGCACAAGTGCAGTCACTGTCAATAATTGTTATAACTACGCAGCGATTACAGTTGATTCCTTCCGTGCGAGTTACTCTATCAAAAGATGAATTACACGCACGTGGGACATGTCGACTTATGTCTCAGGGTGCGGGCGCAATGGCGGTGCCCTTCACACCTTTGCGGTTTAAAGCTCTGAATAGCACTGCAATTGCTATGGACAGGCGTGTCCCTTACCACCAGGGGTACGACTTGTTCGTCCCGTCACTTGGTATCATTAAAAAACAGGAATATTGTAAAACAAATTTCGATATTCATTACGAGGTTCGAGTTTAAACTATCCACTCGGAACTTGTAAACATAAAAAATGTGTTTAAGAACAAGAATATTACTGTTTTCTGTAAAACAACTGCAGGTGTTATGTAAATCAAACAATCCTTGTTACAAAATGAGTTACAAAATGATTTATTAATTATCCGATTACTAAAATATAAAATAATAATATCCAATGTGCCTCTCACGGACATACCTTAACCCTGATTCACCCCATTCGTATTCTGATGCGTAAAAGCCGCTACGTGGCAACAAATTCCTAACCATCCCGTGATTCATCATTCTTTTATTCACCGTTCTATTTGGATATAATTCAAAAATGAAAATATTCTAGAAGCTAATAATACACCTGTTGATTCATGTCATGAAGATTTAGTTAATATTATTTGTAAGGGTTGTTAGAAGTGTCTATCGCTTTGTTCGCAACATATTAAACACATTTCAATTACGAAATCACGTAGTCCAATATTTTATAGAATAATTATAAATGAATTGACATCAAAATAGAATGAAAAAGCATGGGGATTTATTATCAAATCGTGCGTCTATCCAATTTATTGTACAGTTAGTGTTAAAACATTAAATAGCTGTGTTGTAATATAGCCGTGCGCACAGCACCTTGCGCAAAATGTAATTGATTATGACAGCAACCTTTTTTTAAATAGATACTGTACGTAAATCTTACTTGTGTACAAATGTTATATCATAATGCTGAGTTTCAAGGCGTTTGCCGTGTTTTGCTTATAAATTTCACAGGTTAACGTGAGATTTATTATCTTTGGTCTAAATTCGGGATAGGTGTATTTTGCCTGAAATTCTAGAATAACCTAACTAGTTCCCTTGCGGATATTGGTACTAAAGTTTGTTTAGAATATTGCTTAATTTACGAACTACGCAACACCGCTTGTCAACCTATTCTGACCGTTAATTAAAGATTTTATTTATATAGTGCTGTATCTACATTAACGAAACTATTAATTAACTGATCGTTAATAAACTATTTCAAACAAAGCACCTTCAAGGTTTTACTGAATTAACATCTGATTAAATGCCTACTGCTGGTTTATTTTATTTATAAAGTAGTAAAGGTAGGTAGTAAATTAGAAGTATGATTTGCGAGTTTGACGAATTGCAAATCATCTTTAGAAAGTTTAACGAATAGATTTTGCACTGTTCAATGAAATATAATTTCTACTTCTTTTCAATTATGCTCCTTGGAACACAATAACTGTGTTTTGTACTTGGATGACAAAAATTCGTGGTAGTGACCCGTTTAGCTCTGGCAGATACCTAGTCTCCATCTATGATATTTGAAATAAATATTGTAAATGTCAAATCTGTACAAAGGTATATTTATAAAGAACAATCCTTAAAGTCTCTTGCTCATTCTTTTCAGGAGAATCTGCCTTGCGAATGAGCAATAGAGTTTAGTCAATATGACGATTTCAAGTGTAATTTGCATACCTATGAAATATGGGTTATTTGAGTTTGAAGTGATTAACAATCGAAAACTACGTATTTACGTTACTTTGACGTTTTTATATATTCATGTCAACATATACGTGCTAAAACGAATGTCAGTATTAATTTCTATTTGCCTAACGCAAACGTATACGAGTTTACATGTTAACAGTAAATTTGAAACACTCTTCACTGTTCTGGCACTCTATCCACACACGACATTGGACGTTATCGTGGTCCAAATTTTGCGTGTAAACATTAGCTGTAGTTGGAATGGTGAAGATGATCGGTTAATTGCGTAATTTTGACAAAAAGTCAATTGTATCAGAATAGACAAGAATGAATTTTTTAAATTAATGATTTTTAAATATTTATTTTATGATACCAAATCACAAAACGAACTAGTTGTACGCCTGATGGTAAGCGACACGCCTATCCATAGCAGTTGTAGTACCACTCAAAGCTTTAAAATGCAAAGATCTGAGGAACATTGCACCCATCACTTTAAGACGTAAGTTGACAAGTCTCATGTGCCTGTAATTTCACCAGCACTCTTACCCTTCAAAACCGGAACGCGGTAATGCTCTCGTTACCGCGTGGCGGCAGAAAGATGTGGGGTAGCAGTATAGCTACTAATTGTTTACAACAATGTGTTTGCAGATTTGAAACGCCGATTGACGGGAACGATTGATTTAAATTCGCCGAATTTATGATTCCTAGTATGTACCTATATTTAAAACGATTTAACACTGAGCTACCTGAGAAAATAGTAAAGTATAACCCAAACTAAATCACGCAAGACTACTTGGTTTCATCACTTGTCACACTTACCTCTATTTTCACTAACTCCACCATTGTTTAACTAAATGTCGAGTTTGCTTACTTTTCGGAATTAAACAAGTTTCTCGCGAGTTTTTGTTTTGCTTCTCAATTGTTTTCATATTTCGCGTCTTCTTAAGAAATACACTATTCGAGCGAAGTTCCGCCTCTTTCATTTTGCCTCGTTATAAAGTTTTATTTTCTTCTATGACTTGTCCTTCTTCTTGACTTCGAAGATTAGTAAAAAAAATGTTACTATATTTAAATCATATCGCGTATGTACCTATGTACTGTACTTACATAAATGTTCTGCTACTTTCTGTTTTTATAAAAAATCATAACTATAACGGTTTAATATTTTTGAAAACAAATAATACTATAGAATCAATTTATTACACAAAGCAACCCCAGACAGTTTCCTAATTAAAACGATCATGATATTACGAAAGTTGCATAATTAGTAACCACGTGCTAAAAAGAAGTTGTAAAATTAGTACCTTACTTAACCAATGGCAAGCGATTACAATTGGGCAGCTTTCCCACGCAGAGTTAACTCACATACTTAAATTCGTAACTAGAAGCTATAGAGACAGTCATCTAAATACGGACTTTATTAACAGAACCTTAGGCGCAAAGTCCAAAACATTATAAAGAAATTTCGAGTAATATTGTTGACTTCTAACTATATTGTACTAGTGTTAGACCATCGCCATCGGTGTCAAATGACTTAGTTAGATTGTATATTGTTAAACTTCAATCCAATAACAGCTTTATTATTAGTACATTTTAGAACTGCCCTACTAGGTCAGAAAAACGCATTAGGACATTGCTACACAATACCGTCATCTAGCAGAATGCTTCATGGCAGTATCTATAGTCTGCTCACACAGTGTCCCATGAGAGCCCATTCCGAATCTGTACTTGCACCAATATCACAACAATGTTTTGGTGCTGTAAGCGTAAATCAGAGCTTTCCAATGTTCAAGTACATTGTTTTGTAACGTGATTGTCCGGGGAGGCGTCTATGCATTATGTTTATTTGAATAGAAGATGAAACAATGGAACAAATCGCTTTCAATAAATGAATAATTAAATGAAATATACTTTGTGAATTATTTCTTTATTGTCAAAAAATAGAGTTCTTAGTAAAAACCTACATCCAAATGTCTATAAACATACATAAATTACATACATTATTCTAATTTCATTTAAACGTTTAACATTTCTTTATATATCAATGTAATAATAAGTAATTTCATACGTCACGTAAAGCCGTAGAAAATTCTGAAAGTTATATTAGAAAAGTTTTGTTTGTATGAAGAATGTTGAACAAAGGCGGTAATGTTACAACACGGACACGTAATCTGTATTTCCAAATGTTAACGTCATTGTTACTTTTGTCGTACATTGTATGAAATATATCCTTGTTTTAGAGGTATAATAAAAAATCCCCATAACAAAAACATAGCTTTTTTAGAAAAAAAAAATCGCAACGCAATACTATATAGCATGTGGCTTTGGACCAACCAATAACAAAATAGACCCACTAACAAATGAAACATTTCTACATCATAATTTCATTGGCAATAATCTAATTTGACATCGTTACAAAGCAAACAAGCTATCACAAAAGTATAAAGGAAATATTGGTACAATTGGTCACGTAACGTGATTGAGAATTGAGCATTGAGCAAGTGTGTAATTTGGGACTGTAAATTATTCAAAACTGATACAAATATTAACAAGTGTATTGATATTATACTGTACGTATTTATACGGCATTGAAGTAAAACTCCACCCGTATCGGCGCAACTGAAATTGTGGCAACGATAAGTTGTATATATTCCAGAAATAATACATATATTTCTCAAAATTACCCTAAAAATCTCAGACGATTTTGTTCTTTAAGAAAAGAGAAAAATTACAAATTAAACATTCTTATAACACATGATAGAAAGGTAATAATAGTCAGGTGAACACAAAATCAGATATCGTAATTATTCGATTTTTCTAAATTCAATTTTACACAAGGCTTATCTATATTACCGTAGATTTCTCTTCTAGAGAGCTATTCTAGTAAATTCTCGGAAACCGTGCTGGAAGAAAAGTACCTTCACACTGTCTGTAAGGAAATCCACACCTTATAAACGCTCAGAACTTAGGTCACACCTTCATCTTGAAGGCTCTATAGTTACAACGATATCTATGTACTAACGAAGTATTAAACTGAAGTCTTTGTATAACTTAACATATGTACTTCGTCAATGTTGATTGATGTTATAACAAATCATAAAGGTTAATTCAATCTATTCAGTTATCGTTGTGTTGTATTGTAACACTTCTCTTTAGAAGAAAAAATATTACAAAATATCGAATGGCCTTTCGTTAAAAGTCTGCAAAGATTGACTTTTATCAGTAGACTCGCCTTAAAAGCCTTATAACTTACAACGGCTTATAACTGTTACCAGTTACCTGCTCAGCACAAAGGCTACTAATAACTAACCGACTGTCACTAGGTGTGCACTGTGGAAACAGAAAAACCTCCACCGCCTTATTTCATCATCCCTCCAGAGCACTACCACCAGTAGCGATCTGTGGTGGGCCGTGTGGAAGTCCTTGAATCGACTTGGCAACCAGGTATGTCGCTGCAGAGACGAAAAGTGTAAATGGGTGTGACGATGTGACCTCCTTCCATCGTCATCCTACCCTTTTATCACCTTTTCTCTGGTTCCTGGCCACTTCCCCGTGGTCACTCTCAGCTCAATCGCTGAAGCGAGCAATGCTGCTCGTCTAATTTTGATCATTTTACCAGTTCCCAACCTAAATCATGTGTCAATTTTAATACCAATCTAACATAGTAATATTGTTTAACTCGGCCTCGGCGATAAGTCTGTGTCACGTTTTTAGTACTTAAGTAGGGAGTGTTTTGTAGCGTTGTACCTGTTTTTTATACCCTTTTCTTGTTACAGCCTTTCCTTTTTCTTTCGACTTTACGAAATAAGTTATGTGGAACAAAATAGAATACTCCGGATTCTATTTTATTGCCGTGAACCTGGTCACGGCAGTTTACAACCTCTTCATGGGGGTTCAGAGATGCTGGTCTATGCTCCAACACAGTCCCTGCCGCACTTGCTCCACTACCAACAGGTATTCCTGTTTGAGGGAAGATCTTTATGCGGTCACGGGCAGGGCAGTCAAGGTGGCAACATACTATTCGAAGTCAATATAGTTTTAAAATAAAAGACCATCAACAAGATAAAAATGAAAAGATCAGTAGATAATATTCCAAACATAATTAATTGTGCTAACAAATTCGATTCGTAGAATTTATCTAAATTTTACTTTATTGAAAACCAAATTCATGCAAAAGCTCATATTAAAATAGGTTTCTGGGCTTATTAATTAAACTTTGATATTAAATACTCCCTTTTGGCCTTTTTGCACTCGTAAATTAATATTATTTTCTGTCTAGACAGAAACTTTCGAGACTTCTAAAATTGTTGTGCTTCACATATAACCATCACTTAGTCTCAGTTTTATCACCGTATATTGTATATTTATGATAATATAAACTATTTACTATAACTTGACTTACTTATTTTACGTCTACATGATAATTTTGGAAACGTATTCTTTTGACTTTTAAGTCTCAAAATAAAATTGTTAACAGTGGATATATACGTGTGTGGATATATTCAATATTTAGATTCCTTAAAAAGTAAACATTTTAACTTTTAAAAAAGCAGTGTACCTATCCACCCTGTACGCTATGTGCACCTTAAAATCTTCCCCTTTGTTCTGAAATTTGTACTCCTACTTCGCTGCTCTCCGGCTTGGAAGCCCCATAACCTGCTCACTTCCACAGGTGGTAATTATGGTACCTTTACGTCTCCTCATCAGACACGACGCATGCATCAAAGGAACTTCCAGCACGTTGAGTACCAGACACTCCTCAAAGAAATCATCCACTGGACTTCTTAAATGGTAATCGTGCCCGCTGTGTCTCAAGATCAGAGGCATATCATGAATATAAACGATGCGATCCTTAATCGTTTATAATGTATCGGCCACGTGTGTCAGACGCCACATGTATTGATACTTTGATCTCTAAAACACCATAAAGAGAGTTGACTGTACAGCATTGCCAATGAAAAGATTCAAGAAGCCAAAAGTACCAAGACGTTCGCTCGGAGATGAAACCTTAGTTTCTTGAGGTCCCTATGTCCTTTATTTCTATAAAATGGTATTTAAAAACAGGTATACCCTAGGGCTGGCAGCTAACTTGCCGAACGTATTTGCGTTGCCATACAAAATGGGGAGGCTACATTGAGGTAATAAGTAATGGGAGGCTACCAGCATATTGGACATTCGCCGCATGGACCCAATTTAATCCATTTAACGTAGCTCTAGTCGTAGTAGTATTTAATAAGCCTTTGATGTTTGTTGCCCCATATAAACAAGCCAGTATTACGTACCCACCCACATATTACATATATATATATATTGTAGAGAAAACAAATTAGTGTGAGTTCAACGGAAGACTCCAACCGATCGATGGGAGGAAAGGACCGCTTGGCATTTGCCCTGCAGATGTTTGAGAGTCACCATCTCAAGAACCCTATTGTTATTTCTACCTATTGTATTGTCACTTTTGAAATGACTAGTTACCGCATTGCTAACGTTGTTTCGAAAACTAAATACTTAGTTAAGGTCACAAAAATTAATAATTTTGGTATGAACTTGTTATTCCATTGTTGCGGACACCGAGCTACATAATCCGTGCCGACCGCCTACTCGCCAACCACTGTACTAGATGAGAGAATTCCCC